ATAACCTATAAAAATGTGTTGCTCAATAAAACCAGAATGTTATGAACACAACTTTCACATGTATGTAGTTTGTTTAAAGCGAAAATATTAATATATGTTTTATGCCCTTACAACCTCCTTAAATATTCTTAATAGATATCATGAATTTTGTTAAATTTTATCGATATTTCAGTAATATTTAAATATGTAAAACTTTGTCTGAGACATGAATTTTATTCTTTCATTTTGTATAAAATTTGGCTCTTTTAGAAAGAGAGAAAGAGAGAGAGACTAAAGATTTTATTATGCTTTATTAAATAGGTTGGTACTGGATCGATCCAAATTTGGGCATGCCAGACGACGCTATTAGTGTGATTTGTAATATCACGAACATGGGCGAAACTTGCATCTTTCCAGACATTCACAGTAGTCACATGCCGAGCATACCGTGGAGAAAAGAAAATAATAAAACCGACTGGTACTCGCATCTACGTGGAGGATTTAGAGTAAGATCGATAAAATTTCCATTTTTTTCAATATTATTTCAATTAATTATTCCTACGATTTTTTTATTATCATTCTTAAAAGTATCAGTTAAATACTGCGTTTGAGACGTACTTCTTGTAATATTATCGAAAAACTTCGATAAAGAAATGAATAAAATTACAAAGTCTAGAGTTGTGAATTATGAATTTTATCGGAGGAAATTGATCATATTTTCCAGATAAGTTATGAGACAATCGGAGTTGTGCAGATGAACTTCCTACGTCTACTTAGTCAAGAAGCTTATCAGAATTTTACGTATACGTGCACGAACAGCGTTGCTTGGTACGATGGCGAGAATCGCAATTACAATCTCTCACTGCGATTACTCGGCGACAACGGGGACGAATTTTCGTACAACAATATCAGGCCTCACCTCATCGCGGACGAGTGCAAGAGCCGAAGTCGTAAGGAGACCGTGTTCTTAATTCGCACCAGCAAGTTACAACAGCTACCGCTGATCGATTTTTATCCAGTCGATTACGGATTACCACAACAAGCTTTCGGCTTCAAAGTCGGCCCAGTTTGTTTCAAATAGGCCAGTAAATTTCATCACACTATTGTCTCGTAATTATATAATTTTTTACATAATTAGTAATTAATTAAGAACACGAGAAGTGTAATTTAATGCGAGGTTCGATTTATGCATAATTCAAGAAGTAGGAGATTTTTATCGTGTATTTATAGCATGATTATGGACTTTATATGTAACACTTTTAACCTCTTCTGTACTGTACAGACTGACGTTTTTATGTATACAATAATTTATATGAATAATACGCTTAATATGTGTATAAATAAAACAGCGTGTGTTAATTATTAATTGTCCTCCAATTTATTTTAAAATCATATTTTCAGCTATCAGTAATTGACCTAGTTCTTAATTTCTCTAATTAATATTTTATTTTGAATTTTGAACGTATTATATTGTATGTAACAATATTATTGACTATTGAATTATTGGTATTTTTTATTATAAAATATTTATTCTAATCTTTTTAAAATAGATATTATATTTTAATTTTCGATTATTGTATATTTAATTATTTGTTAATACATACGAATTTTTGTTTATTTCTAAATACACATTGCACACACCAGGAAAAAAAAATTTTATATATAATTATATAAAATTATATATAATTTTATATATGTAAGTTTATACACATAATTATATATAAATATACATAATTATATACAATTACATATATTTTTATATTATTTTATATAATTATATATAAAATTTTTTTTCCCGGGCAATAATGTCGTCATCAACTCATTATTTGATTATTTATTATTAATATATCATATGTTAACATTTTGGTACATTTAGTGCTTTATAATCTTATTTAAGAGAAGTATCGTCATCAGGTTCCGTGGTGTAGCGGTTATCACGTCTGCTTTACACGCAGAAGGTCGCCAGTTCGATCCCGGCCGGAATCACTTTTTTTCTATTCTTGTTATTTTGGTAAGAGATTTATCTTAAAATTAAAAAGTGTGCTATTTAATAATTTTATAAAAAAAGAACAAATAAAAATATATAGCTGCGTAAAATTACAAAGACACATCGATTTAAAAAACTAGGAGATATTACATTTTTACATAATCACCTTTTAAATAAAATTATAGAACGTATTGTTAAAATTGAGATCATCAAAATGTGTTCGAAAATACCTTCTATTTGTCTTAAAGATAAGAAAAACTTAAGAAGGAAGTTTATAATTTCAGATCTACGATTTTGAAACTTACCTTTATTTTCAATAAATGTGTTCATTAACTATGTTTGGTGATTTATTCTAGAAATATTTAATATTATTATTTAATAATTGTAATTGCCGAAATAATAAATAATTCTAATAATTATTCTTTGAAGGTTGCAGGGCATTAATCAATTCCATCTTTACATTTCACACAAACTTATATTTATTTTGTCAATAAAACCTAGTTTCATTAAAAAGTAAGATGAAGCCAACTGGGAAATTTTTTTAAGCAATTAGAAAATGAATGAAGTTAAATTTATTGAGAAGAAAACCTCTGAGCGCTTCATCGAGCTAGCCGACACGTCACACTTATCGACTCTCGACGAAGGGGCGAAAGAAGTATGAAAAGATTCGAGAGATAGGGCGGATCGAAGGAATCCGCGAGAATGGCGAGATATGCGTGGGCAAACCGTGAGAAACCGCAGGTGACACCTTGTCATGGCGGTCGGCGGTTCACACTTCGGTTTCTTTCATCCCTTTTCTGGTGACAAGACAACCGAAGTAACGGTGCAGGGCCGCTTCAGCGTGGAATTGAGAAAGTGGAAAATGCTTAGTCGCGTTACGCGAAATCTTGCAAAGTTAAGGAAGCGAACTTGAAATCGTACTAATGAAATGAATAATATTTTTTTATTAAATATATATTATTTAAAAGCATGAAAATCTATCATAAGAACGTAAAATTAATAAAAACCTGTCACAAAAAAAAATCGACAAAAAGGTTGAGCAATTTTATTTTTCTTTTAATGTAACTCTTTGAAAGTACATTACAAAAAAATATTTAAATATTGTTGATTCACTAGCTCAAGGATTAAAATATTTTTTAAGTTGTAACAAATTTGCTTGTAATATATGTAATAAGTAATTCGACAAATATTGATAAAACGGTAGTGGTAGTTCTGCTGGAGGAGATAGCGTCCCTGGCGTCGAGCGTCTTTTTCAGCGAAGTGCAGTAGGAGGGATAAAAGGTTTCCTTGTTTAACAAAATATCGTCTCCGAGCCATTAGCCCGACCGTTACCACTTCAGCGCGATTTTCTGCTCCCGCTATCGCATTGAGGAGGCACTTGAGGATCTTGCGGATCCTGCGAGCTATCAAACGCAGACCTGCCTTTCTCCACCCTTCAGGACAACTTTGCTGTGTTGAAATTAACAGGAGAGCTCGGTATCTGGGTGCACTCGACACTGTCGCCGTTAACTCGACCTTTAATTTCCGTCAAAATGACCATAATACTTTCCTTCGCTTTTACTTATATTTATTTTATTCTTTTTTAGGAAGTAACAAATGATAAATTGCTTATAATCTTAAAGCGAGTTTGTCGGCGATATTTGTCAAATTTAATTTAAATTCGATAGATCTATTTCTTATACTAGGTCTGTTATTAATTAATATATATATATATATATAATTACGCAATTATGTATAATGTAATTATATGTTTCTAAATAAATTCGTGTATCTTATATTTCTTAAAAATATTTTCGAGCAAATAATGTTTTTTCTCGAGTTTCGAGACTTATTTCTGTTTTTAAAAAGCTTTGCAAGTTCTAAGCACCGTATAAAATATCTAGTAGATAAAACGGTTACTTCGCATATATGTATTCTCGAGATGGCGATCATTGATTTCTAAGGAAATAATAAATGAAATATTCAAGAAATACTGTATGCCATTACGCTTGTCTTGCGTAACCGAACGTCGCAACACCGTGAGAAACTACCAGATGTCACAGTCACTCCCAGAGTACGGTAACAGAAATGTATATTCCAACGAGGCCTGTCAGATCTTTATTTAAGGATCAATCATCATCGAAGTCGATCTACATTGTGTAAATCGATCTAGAAATTACGCAACGTGATCGAGGTTCAAATAATATATGTATATATGTTGCAAGAACGAATATTTTATTAAAAAAACATACAGGCTTTTTAAGATTTTTAACCCTTATTTTATTTCCGGTTTTTTCGAGCTATTTAAAGACGATTCTTTTTTGACGAAAATTTAATTATGAATTGTTATAATTTACGAAAATTAATCAATTTGTACTTGAAAATTCTATAAAAATAATTTATGACATTAAACTTTATTAAATAAAAAAACACGTTAATATCTTTCTATGTTTGTAAATTAATCCATGAAATTTTAATTCGTTTATAACAAAATTGTTCATTAAACTATTAACATTACCTAAAAGTTTATGTATATTTTATATTGTCGTTACATGTGAATTTTCTCACCTTTATAATAAATAAAGAAATCTTTATAATAAATAAAAAAGGGAAATAATATAAATAAAAATCTTTCAATGCCTATTAGAGCCGCCACAGGATATTATGTATAATAATCAATTTATATATATTAATGAACAATAAAATTATATAATTATGACATCAGGTAAACGTTTCGACCCTATTATTTGGGTCTTCTTCAGTACCAAGAAAACACAATAATTCTATAAATATATGTGTTGAGTAACTATATAACAGCAAGGTTGAAAGTTGCGAAAATTGTGTCCATTATATATACATGACAAGAATTTGACAGAATTGTTATGAAACGGAGAGCAAAATGTTAATAATAGAAGAAGATTAAAAACAATTTAATAAGAACATGTCATCGAATGAGTAAAAAATTGAGAGACTTACATGTCATAAATAAGGAAATGGGCTGACGTACATTTCAGAGATGCATCCCGTCATTAATAATATAACTTTTTCTTTTCCCTCTTTTCTATCACGTGTTATTATTGAATTGCTAAAAAGCAGCTAAGGTAAAATAAATTTCCTCCCTATACAATCCTTTCTCTTTCCCTCTCTTTTTCTCTCTCTCTCTCTCTTTCTCTCCTCTCTCTCGTTTCCCCTTATACCCCTTTCACGGTTCGCTCGATAATGTCGGTTCGACTTCGGTGGTTCTTTGCGATTAGCCGGAGGGAGAGGCAGTAAAAGCCGCGTACGAGTTGACTTTCGCGCTTCGGTTCACTCATCGCCGTTTACAGCAGAGTGGAGGACTGGAGGAGAGGATATACCCTTTGCTGCTTACAATTAGCCGAGGGGTTGCGCTCGTTCAACCCCTGCGAAGATCGTGAGATCTGGCTCCGCCTGTCGGCCAATCGTTGTCGTTGCTCGACGTCTCGCGCACGTATTCTCGCGTCGACGGACATCACGTCCGCCCAACCGCGCGAACCCCGGGGGATGATAACCCTCGCTAGCCGATACCCTTTCTGAGCCGCGACCAGATAGCGACGGGCGAAAATTATAACGAGTTATAGGTCGCACGTGTCCCAACGCGCGTACGCGAGTTTAACGTGTTTTACTCGCCGACAAGAAGCGATCACTGCGAAGCGAAATCGGAGAATCTTTGCGACTCTGATCGGGATAATTGGCGACAATCGACGTGAAATTTTGAGGGGTGCATCTCGTAGTTGTATCGCGCGCGGCTTTATTCTGCGTTTTGTGCATTGTTAGACGAATTCTGGGGATATCCGTTATCATGACGTTAGTCTGATTACGTGCTGGTGTAAATTTATTCCGAGTTAGGTAATAGAAAGTTCTACGACAAACAATTTGATTATCGACTTTTAAGATTGAAACCTTTAAATATTGCAATAACTGTTGTAATGCACAAAGTGTAAAAGATTAAAAAAAATATTTGTACGTTGTAAAATGAATCAAATTATGTTTAAAGAATTATATAACTGTTATCCGGTTTCAGAGAGATTTGAAGTTGATTATATTTAAAAAAAAACAGAGATTAATCATAGTGTTATGTGATGAATATAAAATTGTAATGCTATTCATTGCAAAATTAATTTAATATATATATATAACTAATCTTGAGATTAGCTAAATTAATTTTTAAATAATAATTAAGTATTATTTGTTGTAAGATTTGCATTTATATAAATGTGTTTTAATTTTTTTAAGCAGAGAAAAATATTTCGTTTTCTTTGGAG